GCCAAAAATAAATATAGATATATAATATATATATATATATACACTTTAATTGACCATAAATGATAATATTGTTTTTTTCATTCATACAATTGATGAATTGTTGATGAAAAATGATTTAACTGTAATGTGAACTAAAATTCAAGAGAGATTCAATGTAATTACGTCAATGTATGGGACTGGTTGTTTTTTTACAAACCTCGGGGAAAATTAGTTTAATTTACCTTAGTTTTTTTTTTAAAAAAAAAAAACTTTTTTTTGGTCAATTAGGAAAAATGAGAAGAAAAATGAAAATATATTGTCAAAATTTTCATTTTTTTTTTTTGCTTAGTTGATAATAAAAAATAAGTAATTTTATTGTCCATACAGTTTCTACTCTTTGACATATTTACATCCAAACATAATCTGAGTCTTAAAATGTTGATTTAAGCACACTTATCTTTTCAAAATTGTGAAGAAAAAAAAAAAAGTGCACTATACCAATATTTTTACAATGGGGTCCGAATTGTATTTGCTTTTTTTACCACTTAATCTTACATAGAGAATTTTGTTTATGTCAATTAATAAAATTTTATATACAAATATCATAGAATTAAATAATATTATTATGGTAATTTACCGGTTTCATGTATTTTTTTTTACAAATAAAAGTATAATATGTATATGTGTATATACTTTAAGTAAAGGATAATATTTTAATATTACTTAGTAGTTTTAAATTTAATCATCCTTTGTTGACTTAATTCGTTTTTATTGAGGTTAAAATCATGACAATATATCATTAGAAAGCAAAAAAAAAAAAAAAAGGTAAAAAGTCAGAGCATCTAAGAGCATTCACATTGAATGCGTTAGTCGAAATGTTTTAGATCAGATGTTTATTTAATAACCAAGTGATTAACTTTTTTTTTTTCTCCTCCATTGTGAATGTGTTAACCATACTTTTTAGTATTGTAAAGATGTTAGAATTTGTGCTAATTGTCCTCATTCTTTTTAAACATCTAACACAAGAAGAAAGAGTGAATGAGAGGAGAGAAAGGGCAGTGTTGAAAGTCCAGTGGGTACTTACTGCATTTTTGTAATATTTTTTTATTTTATTCTTTACAATGTATATTTATAACATTCAAGTGAATCACTATTTTACTTAACACGCAATGTTATAATAGTCATTGTATACAATGAAAATGCGTGTTAAGAAGTAAAGTGTGATTCACTGAATGTATATAAATATACATATGTAAAGAATAAAATAAAAAAATATTACAAAATGCAGTAAGTACCCACTGGAACTTTCAACACTGCCCTTTCTCTCCCTCTCATTCACTCTTTTCTTCTTGTGTTAGATGTTAAAAAGATGAGGACAATTAGCACAAATTCTAACATCTTACAATACTAAAAAGTATGGTTAACACATTCACAATGGAGGAGAAAAAAAAAAAGTTAATCACTGGTAGTTAAATAAACATCTGATCTAAACATTTCGACTAAACGCATTCAATGTGAATGCTCTTAGATGCTCTGACTTTTTACCTTTTTTTTTTTTTTTTGCTTTCTAATGATATATTGTCATGATTTTAACCTCAATAAAACGAATTAAGTCAACAAGGATGATTAAATTTAAACTACTAAGTAATATTAAAATATTATCCTTTACTTTAAAGTATACAATACATTACAAAATGAATATCGTTTATTTGTAAAAAAAATACATGAAACCGGTAAATTACCATAATAATATTATTTAATTCTTATGATATTTGTATATAAATTTTTTAATTGACATAAACAAAATTCTCTATGTAAGATTAAAGTGGTAAAAAAAGCAAATACAATTCGGACCCCATTGTAAAAAATTGGTATAGTGCACTTTTTTTTTTTTTTCACCAATTTTGAAATAGATAAGTGGCTTAAATCAACATTTTAAGACTCAGATTATGTTTGGATGTAAATATGTCAAAGAGTAGAAAACTGTATGGACAATAAAAATTACTTATTTTTATTATCAACTAAGCAAAAAAAAAAAAAATGGAAAATTTTGACAAATATATTTTCATTTTTCTTCTCATTTTTCCTAATTGACCAAAAAAAAGTTTTTTTTTTTTTTAAAAAAAAACTAAGGTAAATTACACTAATTTTCCCCGAGGTTTGTAGAAAAAACAACCAGTCCCATACATTTGACGTAATTACATTGATCTCTCTTGAAATTTTAGTTCACATTACAGTTAAATCATTTTTCATCAACAATTCATCAATTGTATGAATGAAAAAACAATATTATCATTTATGGTCAATTAAAGTGTATATATATTATATATATATATATATCTATATTATTTGTGTGGCCAAGTTTGCATATTGCAAAAAATTTTCCTACAAATCAATTTTTACAATTTTTTATTACACATTTTCCATAAAAAGTCAAAAAGTTAACCAAAACATCCATATTTTCTTCCTCAATTTTTTAGTCTAAAAAGACAAAAAGTGCACTTATTTAGGACACCTCAAACAACTCCTTAGTGTTATTTACCTTCTGTATTAATTTTAGTGGTTTTAACTACACTAAAAATGAGATCAGCATAGTTATGTAAAAAATATAAAACTAATTATATTTTCTTCAAACCATAGGGAAGGTGCGTGTAATTTATCCATAAAATTATTACTTGCTTTTAGAAAAAAAAAATAAAAAAATCTCTAGAAATTTAAACAAACACAAACTTTATTTGTATTTGAAATATCTCAAATTGAAAAATATAAAATGAGATAAGAATAAACAAGGTACATGATGGAGGTGATCGTTGGCCAACACATTCGCATTAAAGAAATCTAAAAGTAGAAATCAACACGCCACGAGTCGGTGCGAACAGCCAAAGTTGGTAACTTTATTTATTTATTTATTCCTTTAATTTATTATTTACACACCAATCAATTTGATTATATATATTTACTTTCTCAGTAACCAAACACTCATGATCACAAGAGTGGAACACTTCCTGGCCGCCCTAATGGCCTTACACGTGTTGCCCAATGGGACAAGTTGTGTGGGCCACGTACTGATGAGCCTGATGACGTGGATGGACCACAAGAGCCAATCAGAGTCGTTTGTCAAGCTTTGGACGGCTAAGAAGATAACAAATATGCACCATCTAAATTATTAAACTTTTTTGACTTCAAATATATTAAAAAAATAATTTAAAATTGTAAAAATTATGGGCTTTGACTCATTTAGGCCCATTTATGCAAGCCCAGATGCTAAAAACCATAGGCCAAGTTTGGACTTTAGATTTGTGCTGTCCTCCTCGGTGAATTGGTGGACCTATGTTGAATGAGTCGGGTCGTTTTAGTCGACCGATTATGTGCAGGTCGGCCCAATTGAATGGGTTGGAAATGGGCTGAAATGTATTGGAACAAGAGTGAGGAAGTTAGGTAATTAGGTTTATACTAATTATTAGTTGGTTCAGAGTAATTAGTTGGTTGAGATTAAAGGTGGTTTTGGGAACTAATTATTTTAGTTAACTTTTTGGCGTTTTAGAAGTGTAGAAAAATAAAGAGAAGAGTTGACTATTTGATAGTGATTTTTTTTTGACTATTTTAGTATGTTCCCAAACATATCCTAAATTTATGAATGTATAAAAAAGTTCTTAATGTATAAAAGATAATTTTGATATTTTTGTAAAATGAGGGTATTATGGTATTTTCACCTCAAATTTAATGAGATTGCTAATACCCCTTGGAGGGGATTCGTATTCCCGTGGGACTATTAGACTCATAGCATTATTAAAAAACAAATATAATTTATGTAAGACTCACTGAATTATTAATCCAATCATATCACTTACGAATTAAAGCAAACATGGCTACAATCACATCACCATCGAATTAAAACAAGCATGACTATAAACTCGTTCAAATATGGGTTGTTTCCCTAAATTCTTTACTTGATCTTGATATCTAGTTGTAAATTAAGGGTGGTTGCCTAGCGAGTGGAGCCACAATGCACTTCTCATTTGGAGTGTCTTATTCATTGGATTTAGCCCAAGTGCCTGTAAATTATTTTATTCATGCTTGAAGATTCTTTTGTCCAAAAATAGTGCATCTATTCGAAAAGCATATATTAATATATATTGAATGAAAAATGCTTTGTTGGCTCCAGTTTTTAGCTACCAAAAGCACATACAGTTATAATAAGGTAGCATTTCGTGTTGAACATAACATAACACAACATAATTTTTTATTTTAAAAGAAAAATTTGGACACATTTTAGACATTTGGAGAACATATATGCATTACCTAGACACATATGAGTTCTTACAAGTTTAAATAAAATAACTTGAAAAAGTAATATAAATTTTTATTTAGAAAAAAAATATCATTTTAATGAGCAGTAGAAAAAATAATATGAAATTAATGCAAAAAGCAATATTTATTTATTTATTCTACTTTTCACTAAAATGATATTTCCTGTAATGTGGAGGGATAAAATTAACCCATGTGAGGTGGGCTCATCCAATGGCTACGAAGAATAAGAACTAAGATAATAAAATAACAACTTGCAATGCAATACATGTATCAAATAAGTTTCGGGTCATACAAGTTGCTTATTTTCATTGGATTAAATTGGTGACTAAAATTCATTAGACAAAATGAGTGACAGGTTAACCTATATAGGGATAAATCTAAGGGAGGTATGTCAAAACCAATCTTTTTACTTTTTCATCTTTATTTAGATATATGCTATTTAACTTGATCATCGAAGTGCCTTTCAGCAGGCAACTGTCGGTCAAGAGACATTAACTGTTTGTTCTTTTGTAGATTCGGAACGGTGTAGCTTAATTATTCGTTGATCTCTCAATTAATATACATGGAACAATTTCAGCTTCCACATGTACATTCTCCTCTAAATTTTAGAAATTAATATTACATAGTATTTTCTTAGTCTTTAAATATATTCATATACGTGACATACAATATAATAAATACTTTTTCTTACTTATTATGACTTATAAATATATAAAATTATATATTTTTCCATAAAATCCAGTAAAATCATTGTCTTCTGTAACTTGAACAGAAATGATAGAGAGCTCTAAACATTGAGCTCTAAACCCAACTCTAATGAGCTGGCATTGAAGAAAAAAAAGAGAGGCCAAACTATCATATCAGTGGGTGGAGTCCACTGATTAGAGCTCCCTTAGAGCTCATTATTTAGAGTTCTAAAACATTTTTCGTAACTTGAAAGGTCGACAGACATGACCTTTTATTTTGATCTTGATCTATATACAACAGTAGTACTTATCATAATCAACAAAGTGTTGATTATTATGATCTTCTTCGCATAGTTTACTAGTACCATCTTCCTCAGAGATTAAATTGCTCAACCGATGTATCAATTGGTCAAAGTCATCTTGACTCTTGAGGAGGCTCAGCCGTACATGGCGGTCTCCGGCAGCAAACCGGCTGCCCTCCCGGCCAATGATATTGGCTGCCCGGAGCACTGCAGTACAGTCCTTATCTTCTTTCCTCTCACACTTCACCCATGCATATGCTGCATATTCCATGATTTCAAAATTTTGTTAGCATTGGAATTTTTTGCATAATTTATCGTTTCATTATGTTGTTAATTTCTTGTTTCTGTTTACGAAATACAAGAAATGAGTTTTTTGAAAAATGTGAGAGGCTGTGGATATAAAATTTATAAAAGAATAATTTAGCATTTAAAATTATAAATTACAGGAATTTTGACAAGAAAAAGTAAAGGAAAGAGGACGTACACATAATTTGAAAAATACTTAAAACTTTACAGCAACAAATTAAAAATATTTTTTTATTAGAGGTAAGAGTTTAATTTTAAAAAAATTGAGAGTGGCATGTGCCCCTTAGTCTCACATGTCTCCATCTCTGCTACCACCCTACCACCACCATTACATCGTTGTCACTGTCACTACCACTAATATTACTAACATTAGTTTCAAATTCAACCACACATTAAGAATATTTTTTATGAAAATTATTTTCTTTTTCCCGTCGAAAACAAACTATGCATTACCCTTTTTTCTAATATCAATCCTTTTTCTTTTCCTTTTATACTTGCATTCCGGTTAAGCTCATAGCAAAAGATATTATTAGATGAAAAGAAAATCAAGTTCTCTCACATTAAAGTGAAAAAAATAAAATGAGAATCATACCTGGAGTAGATCCCCTGACTTTCTGGGAAAAAATGCAAAATTGTGGAGGACTTTCCTCGATGGAAAAACGTTTCGACATTGAAATGACCTGCCTCAATTTTTCCCAACGATTCCTCATTGTTTTGTATGCAAAATCAAAGATTTCTTTTCCATTCCCTTCTTGTACAACTGCTTTGAGAAGCTTGAGAGCTCTTAACTGAGTGTCCCTAGAGACTCCCATTTCAGATAGGCTCATGTACGTCATCATTCTTTGGTACACACCCTCATGTTTCACCATTGCCCACCTCGAGAGTGTTAGCTTTTGATAAAACTCTCTTTAGAATGAACTATATTTTGTATTGAATTTTTATCACTTATTGATTCATATGTATTGCCCATAGGCTTACATCATTTTATATAGAGAAAGTTATACATAAGTTCAATGAATAAGATCCATGAACCTAAACAACCTTGTAATTAATTAGGTACATGAATATAATCTAGACAATGTACTTAATAAATATAAAATACATGAATATAAAAATACATGAATACAAAGAATGTATGAACTCAATGTATCCAATGCATGCAATGTATCCAATGTATCTAATGTAAATATAGCATTAATTTTAACACTCCCCCTTAATGCCATATTGAGTGACACCCAACATTTCTCTAAAAAATTCAAATTTGTCCCTTGGTAGAGTTTTGGTGAAGATGTCCGCAACTTGATCTTCAGTCTTGCAATACTTGATTTGAATCTCATCATCTTCCACAGCTTCTCTAATAAAATGATGTTTGATAGCAATGTGCTTGGTACGAGAATGGTAGACAGGATTCTTTGCCATAGCAATAGCAGACTTATTATCACACATAATTGGAGTAGCTTCACCTTGTTTCTCACCAAAATCATCCAAAATTCTTCTTAGCCAAATTGCTTGTGTAGTTGCCAATGATGCTGAAATATATTCGGCTTCAGCAGATGATTGTGCCACAGTTTGTTGTTTCTTGGATAACCATGAAATTACACCCGATCCAAGAAAAAATGCATACCCAGAAGTGCTTCTCATATCATCAACACATCCGACCCAATCACTATCACAAAATCCAATTAACTTTGCATCAAGAAATTTCTCATAAAAAATTCCATAATCAAGTGTACCTTGAATGTATCTCAACACTCTTTTTGCAACCCCAAAATGAATTTGGCTTGGACTGTGCATGAACCGAGACAATAAACTTGTAGCATACATGATGCCTGGTCTTGTAGCAGTTAAGTACAACAAACTTCCAACCAAACTTCTATAACAAGATGCTTCAGCTTCTTTGCTTCCATCTTCCTTTGACAACTTTTCATTCACAATCAAGGGAGTAGCAACTGCTTTGCAATTCTTCATTTTAAATTTCTCAAGAAGTGTTTGAGCATACTTCTTTTGGCAAATAAAAACACCACCGTTGTTTTGGTGGATTTCAATGCCTAAAAAATGATGCAATAGCCCCAAATCACTCATTTCATATTTCTTCATCATCTCCCTTTTAAAATCTCCAATCAAGTTTTCATCACTATCGGTAAAAACCAAATCATCAACATAAAGTGAAACAATGAGAACACCGGTTGTACCTTGCCTCTTGATGTACAAAGTTGGCTTACTTTTGCTTCTTTGAAAACCCTTTTCATTGAAGTAAGCATCAATTTCACTATACCATGCCCGGGGTGCTTGCTTTAGGCCATATAAAGCCTTCTACAACTTGTACACTTTATCTTCTTTGCCTTTGACAACAAAGCCTTGAGGTTGATCAACATACACTTCTTCTTCTAATTTCCCATTAAAAAATGCTGACTTTACATCAAGTTGGTGCAAGAACCAACCCTTTTGAGCCGCCAAAGCAATGACAGCTCTTATTGTATCAAGTCGAGCCACAGGAGCAAAAGTTTCTTGGAAATCAATTTCAGGTTGTTGTGAATACCCTTTTGCCACAAGTCTTGCTTTGTTCTTTTGAATAGAGCCATCCGGATTTAACTTTGTTTTGAAAATCCACTTCACACCAATTATTTCTTTTTCTTTCGGTTTCTCCACTAACTCCCAAGTCTTGTTCTTCTCAATCACATGAATTTCATCTTCCATTGCTTTCTTCCATGCTTCATTTTTAATTGCCTTTCCATTCCAATATCTTCACAAAATTTCATAAACTCATTTGAGTTGTATTCTCCACCTCTATCACTTGTCAGTACTTTCATCAAACAACCACTTTGTCTTTCAACAAGATTTTGAAATTTCTTGAAGATAGAGAAAACTTCACTCTTTTGTCTCATGAAATACACCCAAGTCATTCTAGTAAAATCATCAACAAAGATAATAAAGTATTTGTTACCTCCATGAGTTGGTGTATCCATAGGTCCGCACACATCGGTATGGACAAGCTCCAATGGTGCTTTAGCTCTCCATGTTTTCTCCTTTGGAAATGACTCCCGGTGATGCTTTCCAAGTGCACAACCTTCACAAATATATTGCACTTCATGAATGGTTGGCAACCCAAAAACCATATTGTTTTGTTGTAGATGCTTCAAGCTTTGAAAATTCAAGTGCCCAAATCTTCTATGCCAAAGCCATGAATTATCAATCACATCCATCTTCAAAACCGCATTTTTGCTATACCGAAAAATGAGAGGAAAACTTCTATTCTTCTCTATCTTGATTTGTGCTACAACTTGGCTTTTCCCCCATTTGTCAAAAATTTTGCAAAAATCGTCTTCAAAGTGAACAAGATATCCACGCTCCATAAGTTGTCCAACACTTAGCAAATTTTGCTCTAAGTCTGGAACTAAGAGAACATCGGAAATGAATTTTGTACCCATCTTGGTTTCTATAGCAATAGTACATTTTCCTTTTGTTTGGACTAAGGCACCATTCCCCATTTTTACTTAAGGACTGGAGGAAACATCCATTTTTACAAAAATGCTTTCATCTCCTGTCATGTGATTGCTACATCCGCTATCTAGAAACCATACATCCTTGGTTTGATCCGATGCCTTGTGACAAGCATAGAACATGTGCCCTTCACTTTCTTGCTCCTCAGAAAAATTAGCTTGTTGAGTGCTCTTGACTAGGCAATCCTTCTTGATATGCACAAATTTGTTGCAATTATAACATTTTGGCTTTCCTCGAAACCAACAATCTTTATCAACATGATTGCTTCGGTTGCAAATTCCACACTTTTGTTGAGTGGACTCTTCATTTTCCTTTCTTTGAAAATTAGACCTTCCTCTTCCTCTTGCATTTCTTACTCTTCCGGTTACATTTCTTCCTCCTCCTCTTCCTCTTCCTTGGGAATTAGAGGTACTAACATTGAGCTTGGATTGAAAGGCACTTTCAATTGAGTTTTCAGATTGCCTACTCAACCTTTGCTCAAATGCTTTAATTGAACCCATCAATTCTTCAATACTCAAATCAGCAAGATCTTTAGTTTCTTCAATGACAGCAACAATGGGATTGTATTTCTCCGGCAAACTTATCAAAATTTTCTCAACAACTCTTTGATTAGTAATATTATCCCCATAAATTTTCATTTGGTTTACAAGTTCCATAACCCTAGAAAAATAATCCTTCAACAATTCCATATCCTTCATCTTTAAATTTTCAAAATCTCTTTTCAATGACTGAAGTTTGATGGTTCTTACCTTCAAGTTGTCTCTATACTCTTTCTGAAGAATATCCCATGCCTCCTTCGCTTTTGTTGCATTGATAATTCTTGGAAAGATTGCTTCTGAAACTCCTTGTTGAATAAAAGAGAGAGCCTTTGAATCCTTTTTCCTTTGCTCTTTTAATTGGTTCTTTTGGGGATTTGTCAAAGCTTCTTTATCTTCAGGTTCCTCGAACCCATTCTCAACAAGATCCCAAAGCTCCGTATAGACAAAAATAGTTCTCATTTTCACATACCAAAAATCAAAATTTTCACCATTAAAGATATGAGTGGATACATTTTGGTTGATGGGATTCGCCATGGACGTCGGTTTGTTCTTCTTCGGGGCTTGTTTTCCCGTATCCGATCTCTACGCCTAGCTTGCTCTTGACCCAACCAAAGCTCTGATACCACTTATGTTAGCTTTTGATAAAACTCTCTTTAGAATGAACTATATTTTGTATTGAATTTTTATCACTTATTGATTCATATGTATTGCCCATAGGCTTACATCATTTTATATAGAGAAGGTTATACATAAATTCAATGAATAAGATCCATGAACCTAAACAACCTTGTAATTAATTAGGTACATGAATATAGTCTAGATAATGTACTTAATAAATATAAAATACATGAATATAAAAATACATGAATACAAAGAACGTATGAACTCAATGTATTCAATGCATGCAATGTATCCAATGTATCTAATGTAAATATGGCATTAATTTTAACAGAGAGAAGATAATAGCAATTGTTATGGTGAAAGTGAAATTGAGAGCAAGACAAATAAAAAATAAACACAAAAATATATATAGAATTTACGTGGTTCAACTATTAGCCTACTTTTATGGATGAAGAATGATGACAAAGGTTTACTATGAATGTAGACAGTGGCGGATCCAAGAGTTTTGCTAAGGGTGGCTAATGTAAAATTATTTAGATTTCGGAGGGCTAGATAAAAATTTTAGATTTGAGAGGGGCCAAAATGATAATATCTTGTAGTGGTTTGGGTTAAGGTTTACTTTGTCCATAACTCCTCCCTTCTACAAACTTAGGGTGCCCATTGGGGCCCAACCCAAGTGTTGTAGTCTAGAGCTTATATACATACACAAGCTCTCTTAAAGTTTCAATGTGAGACAACTCATTACAAGAAACCCACATTTACTTCCTTAAATTTCCCATTCCACGAACCAGAAAACGACGTCATGTTCCCATTCACTCATAAATGGTTTTGACGAACCGTTTTCACCGTGTGACTTGCTACGCGGCAAGGAACACTTCATCTCTTCGGATCCACCCCAAACGATGTTCGGGGTCCACTCAATTTTGAGCTCAAAGTCGGCCCAAAATAAGCCTATAACAACCATTTTTTCCAACAAGTTACGCTTCAGCGATCAACCTATATGTTTTGCACCGTCTTTACTCACACTGCTCGAGCGGTTTTTGCGATTTAATTTACTATAAAATGTGTAGTTTGCTATTTTTAGGGTTTGAGCCGTCCAAATTTTCAGTGAGAAAGGAAAAAATAAAGTGTTTTACATTGGAGGGTGCTTTATGAGTGTTTTCTTGATGATTTAAAAGTGATCAATGGATCCATAAATTTCATATCAATATCATCAATGGGTTTATTTGTTTTCTTTTATTCACAAAAGAGAAAGTCGTTCTTTGGTAGATTTCGAGAAATTTGAGTCTGAAGTTTTGGTAGAATCTAGAGTGATTCATCGTTGTGGATTCGACATCAGCATTATTGATTCAACGTTGGGCAAGACAATTTCAAGGTGAAAACGGTGGTGGAAGAGGCACATCTGAGTCAGTTCAATTCGGACGTGGATTCGCTTGGTAATTGAGGGCACACTTGTGTAATTCCTTTTTTTTTTTATCTTTTTAATAGATTATTTTGTGACTTTAGCCTCATGATTTATTTTTATTTTTTATCACAATTGGAGACATTTCAGTTGTGATTTTTTCATGTTAAATCGTTATATCGATTTATCTTTAATTATTTGATTGAGATTATTATTTATTGTTTCAAAATTGAAATATAATTATAAATCAATATCTCAAGAATTTGTAGATTTTTGAGAATTCAAGACACACATCACTACCAATGAGTCAAAAAAGTCAACTTTGTCAAAAGAAAAGTGCACAAGTGGGGTAGTGATTGTAGTTATTACCCGAATCGACTGCCAGCATGGCCAGTGAGCTTAGAAATTGTGAAAATCATGAGATCTCCATCCGCCGGAGCTGGAATTGGTGTAAAATGGGGCCAATAATAGGCATGATCGTAAATTGCCTTAACGGTTGAGCCTTGGATAGTAGGTTTTTTCAAGAGACCATCAGGGTTGTTTGGAGAAGTCACAAACTCAATTACATTAATGGAGCTATCTGATGAAGTAGTGTTCATCCACGAGGATGCATCTCCTTCAAACTTAAAATTCACTGAGTTGAAGTAGTCTGTTTGAGTTTCATAAAGCTATGACAAAAACAAAAAAAAACCATAACAAAATTTGAATTGATTAGAATTATACCCATGTAGCAGTTTATAAATTTACCCTCCTCTGTTTTGGCAGAAAATATTTTTTGTAAATGTTTTTTATTATGATCTTCAAAATAATATACTGTGGTAAGGTTTAGAGTTACTGGTGGTGGCAGGGTTTAGGGTTAATGATGGTGGTGGTGATGGTAATGGTAGTGTGATTTAGGGTTACAAATGGTGGTGGTTGGTGGTGGGGGTGATAATGAGGTGGAGGTGGTAGTGATGATGGCAGTGTGGTAGAGGGGTTGGGGGTGATGGGTGGAAGTGGTGGGGGATGCGATAGTGGTGGCAGTGAGGTGGTGGTGGATGTGATAATGAGGTGACGGTGGCAACAGTGATGATAGAGGTGGTGATTATGGAAGTAGCTTAGTTGCATTGGTAATACTTCAGTTCGGAAAAAAAAATTTCAATCTTTCAAAAGTTTCAAAACATTTTCTATCAAAATTAGAAGAAAATTTCCATCTTTTAAAAGTTCAAAACATTTTCCATCAAAATTAGCTTGTTTTTTGTTCATCACGAAAACTTTTTTTCGTGGATTTTCATTTTTCGTCATTTCAAACGTTTAAAAAAAAATAAAATTTGTTATATGTTTTTCCATCAAAACAAATGAGCGGTAATAAAAACCTAAACCAGGTATGGGCACATACAGGGAAATAAGGGATTGAAGCTACTACTCTTGCTGGGGACGATGAATTCTCTGGAGAAAGGGCATAAACTGCAGCACTGAGGAGTTGGGTTGAGCCACCACCGAATAGAATGTACCTTCCATCTGTAATAGCGTTCTTGGCAATGGAGTGTACTTTTCGGATGTGATTCTCAAGGTTGCGTGAGATGAAAGAGTGATCATTGAATGTGTAGCTCATTCGATGCCACCCTACAACTACTAGGGCACTGCTAGCTGCATGTTCCATCCAGAAGGGTTCCAAGAATAGAGGATCCCCACTGCACTCAACAATAATACATTAAGATATGTTAATAAAAAAAACAAATAAAAAATTTCTACATAAAAAACAACAAAAAAATTAGGGTAAACATGTGATAACCAAAATATTTGGCTACTCGAATTTATCATAAAATTATGTGTAAAATTGCCATATTATGCATGGAATGAAATACTCTTAACAAAATGTAAACATTATTTTACCCTAAAAAGTTAAATTAATATATTAAGAAATATATATATATATATATATAAATATATATTTTTACTTTTTTTCCAGTGTTCTCGTGGCTCAGAGATATTCATATATTCACATCCAACACCTATACCCGAGTCCATGTAGTAGGAATTAGGCATATATAACATCCCTCTTGGGGAAATAGTTTGGGTTGTTGCAATTTGATTCTAGAGAATTGCTCAAGAGGATAGCTCAATCAAGTGTGATAGTGTAGGTCTTTGTTTGTGAGGAAATCTTGGTACACCACAATTGCAGTGTTTTTGAGGAAATGCAAACTTCAATTGAGCAATCATCAAAGTAGCAAGACATTGGAGGTATTCAAACACCTAAAATATGGAACACATCAAATAGAGTGCTAACTGATCTTGAGCAGTGACCAAATTTGGCCATTGTGTCCCTGCTGGTGTCAAATGAAATGGTGATGTCAAGTAAACTTGGCTCCTTTAGTGAGGATAATCAAAAGAGAGATGTAATGGACACCAAGCAAATATAGGGTGATGAAAATGTGGGAGCTTGTAAAAATGGTGATTGAGTGGAACTAGATATGGAAAACAAATAATTTGACAAGGGTGATTGTCTTGATGGTGATACACTAGCTATGTCAGGTTAGTCTCCACAATCTTGGAGTTCTTTAGTTAAAGAAAAGATTAATAAGGTGTCAAGATTGATGTGCAAAATAGGTGCGTATCAGATTGAGAACTTAGTAGATGACATGTACAATATCCCTATTGAGATCTCTACAAAAGGTTATTTCCATCTTGAAATGCCTTGATTGGATACTTCATTGATAAAAGATTCTCTTTCATTATGTGAAAACTTAGGCAAAGAAACTTTAGAGAAATTTTCTTGAGGATGTTATCTCCATATTGGTTTTTTTTATAAAGTAAAAAGTGAAGAGGCCATGGACAAAATTTTGGAAGATGGCACCCATTACGTTGAGGCTAGATTGATTGTTGTTAAAAAATGACAATTTGGAGTAAAATTAACAAAATGTGAATTTTTAAATGTGTCGTTGTGGGTGAAGTTGTATAATGTTCCTTTGGTGCTTTGGACTGAAGAGGGTTTGGGTTACATTGCTAGCATCATGGGAACTCCTCTTTATTTGGATGTGTCTACTTTCAACAGAAGCAGACTTATGTTTGCGAGAATATGCATTGAAGTGCTAGCAAATAAAGAGATCTTTGAGTCTTTTAAAATAAATCTTGGTTATGGTGACCTGTATGAGATTAAATTTCTAAAAAATTTGTTTGGTTTGTAATTTTTTCAAAACAATTTCTAAAATCACTTTCTCACTCTTACACATCAATCAATCACTTTTTCTCTCTTCTCTGTCTTTCTCGATCACTTTTTCTCTTACATACATGTACTCAATTACAACAAAATATCAAATAGTTCCAAACTTCCAAACTCCAAAACTACTTTCAAAATACACAACCAAACAAATCAAAAAAATTTCTAATCTCTCTCCCCAAAATAATTTTTAAAAACTACTCTCAAAACCAAACCAAACATATGTTTGTAAAACATTTGGTCATACCACTAATTTGTGTCCTCAAAATGTGCCCTCAAAAGCCAAAGACATTGAATTCTCCCTCTTTCAAACAAGAGTGGAGAGTCAAGGAAACTAAAATACAAATTTCAACTAATTAGGAAATGATGAAGAAGAAAAAGGGGATAGATGGTGTGCAAATTTCAACAGCAGAGATGAGAGAGGAACACACTTTTTTGTCCCCTCTATATCTAATGTCTTTGATATCCTTGAATCTTGTGAATTGGGAGAGTTAGGGAATGACAAATCAAGTCAAAAGTTGTGCCAATTGAATATCCTAAACAATAGAGAGAGTCAATCTCCAAGTGACCCTAGTAATAGGGAGATTATTATGGAGGAAAACAAAAGAAAACTCAAAAGAGAAGCTTCATAACCTGAATAGTGCTAGGGAAATTTTGAATCTTCTTTGTTGTGAAAGTTGTTTTATGTTTTTTTGTAGGATTTGTTTTGTTTCTTTTTAGTGGGAGCAGTTTGTTTCTGTTTATCTTTGTGCTCGCTGCAATGATGTGTATTGAACTTCATTTTGGTTATAATATTACTTACCATAAAAAAAAAAAATCAACGAATAGACAAAATTTTAGCTGAAAGAGAGGAATTTAGATTGAACTAAATGAGTGTTTGACTAGGAAGCATGATGCGGGTATGGATGTAAGTATGTGTACGTTATTGGTATAATCGGGTGAGTTTATAAAAGAATATATTTTTACAATTTATAGTAGCACATGACATATAACTACTAAAAAATCAATTGCCAAAAAATCTTATATATTTTTTATTATTGTAAAAATATCCTATATTTTTGAATTTTTTAAAAATAATCACTATTTTTGTTTCATTATCTTTATATTTTAAAGAAAGCTACATTTGTACCCCGAAATACCTACAATCGTGCCCAAAACATACCCTTCTTGTATCCGAGTCGTACTCAAAATATTTAACGTACTGAATATGTTTTTCACATACCTAGCACTCATACGATAATATTTTTAGAATATCTATATTTCATAAATATTTTAATGACTCAATTCAATACTTAAAATACATACATACAGTGAAATTAATAAAATCTCTTAAAATATCAAAATTCTATCACTTCAAATTTTAAGCATATATTAAAATAGACTAAAATTTAAATTATTTAATTTTTACTTAATCTATTTTACTTAAATTATTATTATTAGGGTGTATTGTAATCATCCCACCAACACCTCCATCACTATTGCTTCTATGACCACACACCACAATTACGATCACTCCATTACAACCATCACCATCAAGACCACCACTCTCCACCTCCACCGCCACTATCCCATTCTACCACCACCAAATAAGGCCAAGTTTTAAAACACTACTTTATTTTCACTTATAAAATCAATGCCAAATTTTCACTGTCTTGATTGTATACTCTGTAAATCAATACCAAAACTCCGTCCAATGAATCATCACCGGGCCAAGCTGTGTGTGTGTTAGAGAGAGAGAGAGAGAGAGAGAGAGAGAGAGAGGAGTAACCAACCTGTCAGCATCAGCAACACAAGCAGGGGAGAATTGAGAGCAATCAGGGCCTCCAAAGCAAGTGTTGCACTCACAAATAGGCTTTCCATCAACAGAGAAACCATCCAAATAAGCTCTGCCATGCCCAGAGCATGACACTGCTGCCACTGCCTCTGCCTCTTCTGCTGCTTTTTGGGTCCAACTCAGCTGCTTCCCCTTCCCACCCACACCACCACCCACATAATGCAGATTTATGAAACAGTAGAGATTAAGAATCACGGAAAACGCAAAAAATACCCCATAAATGGAGCTTTGGATCTTAGCCATGTTTATGATTCCAAGGAAAATGGGGAGCTATGGAGTTTAGTTTGGTCCCCCCCTTACGTATGAGTGGACAAAATAAATGAAATAAAATAAAACAAAAAATGGGCCAATGGCATTTGTATGCCACACAGATAAGCTATAACCATGTTTGGATTCCTCATCTATGTGGTCATCATGAACAAGATTCACAAAAGATTCTTTACAATAATTTTTAGTTTCATGATTGGTTAAATACTTATACTGTCAATTGACTGTTTTGGGATTTAAACTACTATCAAGTTACTATTGTAATATTATTCAAACAAAAATTATTGCAGAGAATTTTAATTAAAAAACAGTTACCATGAACTGTACATACATTGGTATGTGATACTATATCAAAAAAGATTGTGACTTCTAATTTTTATTTTTAAAATTTTGTCTTTAATGACATGGTTACGTATTAATTTGTTACAAATTTAATCATGTAAAACTTAACTTACTTATCATGTCAATATAAATGAATTTAAGAATTTAAATTATGAATTTTAACATTCCTTATATGTAGGGCTGCAAATGAACCGAGTTATTCGTGAGCTCAACTTTACTCGGTTTGACTAGACCAAAAGAAATGAGGATCTTCCACTAGACAACAAGAAGTGAAAACACTTCTTTGCTATTAGAACTATAATATGTTATAATTTAACAGTAGTGATTGGTAGCTCGAAATCAAGGAGCTTGAATCCCCCGAATTGAAAAACGATGTCGTTCGTCGTTTTAATTTTTTTTTTTTTTTCAATCAGAAAATCAGAAGAAGAAGAAGAAAGAAAGAAGAAGAGAAGAAGGCAGAGGCGGAGGCGACGGCGGCCGGGCGGAGGCGGGGGCGGACGAGCTGCGACGACGATCGAACTGCGACGGCGAAATGGGGGGCGGAATGGAGGGGCCTCTCTCTCTCTCTGTTTTCCTCTCTCCTCTCCTCTCTCTTTCTCCCTCTTTCTCTTCTCCCTCTATTCTCCATCTGTTTTTCGGACTGTTGGGGGAGGGGGAAATTTTCAGGAAAAAAATCATTTCCGATAATTTAACTTTAGCATTATCATTTTAGCATTAAATAAGGGAGATACCCTCATATCAAAATGCTATGATTTGACAATCATTTTTCAATCATACAATATTTATTTTATTTTTTTTATATTTTCTCTTAAAATAAAAAATGAAATAAAAAAGAGCTTGTGACACTTAGATGGGACATTCACACTTTAATTCGCAAGTAATTTCATGAAAGGAAAGGGCGATTGCCCGTGTACTCTTCAGAAATGACAGAAACATATTCTAGTGTTGGGGAAGTAAATTTTTATGTCGGTTTTTTTATTTGTAAAATATTATTAGAATTTTATTTTTTTGTATTTGAAAAGATACTTAAATTTTTTTTATGATTAGATGTGATGTTTATAAAAAAAAATAATTATAAAATTAAATATAATATTTTGTTTGAATATATTTTTTTTAATTTTACAAAAAATTTATCTTTTTATAAAAAAAAAACAAAAAAAGAACCAAGTCCCAAACTTCTCAAACGCCATGCCTTACCCTCCACAATTTCCTAAAGCCACTTAATGAGCTCTGAAACGTAATCAAAGTAGCTTGTGGGCCCCATCTCTGAGTAGGTGTGACCCTAATTAATGTAAGAAATAGAGTTTTGTGCCAAGTTTTAATAAGTACAAAATTTGATATCAAATTTAGAATGAAGTTTGTAAATACTATAATTTGGTTAGTTTGATAGACCGCTAAAAATAAATTTCAATAAATTTAAGGATATAAAATCGAAAACATAACTAATTACAAAAGATAAGTGTAGTCATACATATCATATCGTAAAACTTGTCATAAAAGAAAATAATTTTACTCAAATTATTTGAAATCACGCTTTTATAATTTATATAAAACACCCGAGCCTCTTTATTTGTAATCACGTTTTTTATCGTTACGTTTTTTCGACTCTTGCTCTCGATCTCCCTCTGCTCTCAGACTCTCTTACTCTCGCTCTCGATCTCCTTCTGGTCTCAGACTCTCTCGCTCTTGATCTCTCTCTGCTTTTAGACTCTCATTGTCGCTCTCGCTCTCCCTCTGCTCTCAGACCCTCTCCCGGCTCTCACTCTCTGTCTCTGCTCTCTCTCAGTCCGTGGTATGTGTGACGCCCCAAATTTAAGGACATCATAATAAGATTTAGAAACTTAAAATCAATATTGCCACCAAGATTACTAACATCCATTAATTAACAACCCAGAATTTAAAGTTCTTACATCACAACTTAGTCTCAGTACATAACCGAAATGACACAAATATAAAAAGAAAACTAGAAAAAAAAACTAGAATTTTTAGGAAATGGTTTATGGAACTTGGGCACTCTTCAAGCTAACCAAGGCTGAGTGTCGCCTTGCAAGGCCTCGGTGTCTCTTTCGGTTTCTTCAGTACCTGGCATAAAACGCTAGGGCAACGGGAATGCCAGTGAGCGACGAGCTCAATAAGATACTACAACCCAAAAATGCCCACCCCAATAATAATACTCACAATTCATGAGTAATGTGTAATAACAGAATAACTAGTAACATTTAGTAAGCATAAAATAAATGTTATCAGTTGAAATAATAACAATAAATAATAATTAATCAAATAAAAATATAACGCACGGAAACAGTATTTCATCATAAGGAATATGCCCATATTTTTTTTTAAATTTTCATAGATTTAGTTTTTTAGATAAATTTAGTAACTCCCCGCGGAGCACTATTTCCATTCAACCACTAAGTAATGGCCACGGGCAATTCTGACTCCCCCTTGGTCAAATATTTAAATGTTACTTACTGTAACTACCAATGATGCTCACGTACCAGAGTTACGTACCCGAGTCGTGACATCACTGTCTGTCCTAAGGGAACGGTTTATGTTGTGACACCCGCACCGCCAACCTTATATCGCCTACACCGATAAGAGCCGAAATACCTTCCTGTGCCATGTTAAAGTTCGCAACTCACTTGCGCAAGATTCTAAATCGGGCTCACCCCGTCACTTTTACATTTTAATGTATCATTGGTTAAATTTTGTATTTCTTTACTTGTTGAGATATTCACAAAAATTTAAATTTTAATTACCAATAATGTTATACAAACTCATTAGAATCTCAACATAAAATATTACATATGTCGCACAATAATAAACAATTGTACAAAATTTAAATAAACAATTTATTTAAACTATGGTATGAAATAATAATGTAGATACCAAAAAAAAAGAAGAAATAAATCATAATTACACACATGCATGAACTTTTAATCTATAAGATTAAACTAGCACAATATTAAATAAACCACAATACACCTATACATGGATTACTAATTTACAATATTTGATGAATTAGACCAAGACAATAATTGATTTTTTTATCCAAATAAATAATTGAAGTGATGATCTTAAATCTGTCCAGAAATTTTCAGGTTATACCTTACATAATAAAAATTATAAATAAATTATTCATACAGTTCTAAAATTCGTGAAAATGTACAGAATATTCAATAAATATGTTTAGGTTATTTTTCAGAAAGAATTTCCCAAAAATAAGTTATAAATAAACAATTGAAGAGATAGTTTTTGATTCCTCCTTAATCTGTCAAAATTTTCAGAATGTATATCTTGCAATTACAATTATAAATAAATTACTTATACAACTCTAAAATTCATATAAATCTACAGAATACTCAATAAACATGTTATTGTCATTTTTCAGAAAGCATTTTCCAAAAATAAATTATAAATAATTCTTAAAAATTCCAAGAGTGTTTATGACACAGATTTATTATATTTTCTTAAATTAATTCCATACTTAAATTTATAAATCAATTCCATGATCTAAAAATTTATTATGAAACTAGACTTCTCAAATTTAATTTTTTTCTTAGAAATTATCAGATTTGGTTTAATATAAAAATTTTAATGATTTTTCAAACACATAATAAAATCTACCTATAGCTCCAGATTTGGTTAAAAATATTTATAAATTCGTACAAAACTCAATAATTGTTGAAATGTTTTTTGGATGAACTAGACATCATTATCAAAAACTTTGTAGAAGAAATCATCTTCAAAATTTGAGTATAAAATTGTCTAAAAATTCGTACAACTTTCTGGCAAATTTAAAGGGCCAAACAACATCTTCAATAATCTTTTTAATGGCATAAACTACACATGCAAGTCCAAATTCCATAATATTATCATGATTTTCAGACTACCAATATTTAGTATACCATCATAATTTTTTTTTTATACAATTATAAATAAAATCCTATCTACAAGTTTAGACAATTTATCATATGTATATAATTTGAAAATTTCAAATATAAAAAAAAATTTTTTTAAATTTTTTTTCAACTCAATTTTTTCAATAATCTTTATTCAATAAATTTTTGAAATATTTTTTCCCAATTAAATTTTTTTACAAATTATAATTTTTTCAATTATTTTTTAAATATATTTCAATTATAATAGTGTGATCCCATGTTATAAATAATAAAATATTTTTATTTATGTTTTTAAAATTTTTAAACATTTTCAAACCAAATGCGTTG